CCCCAAAACCCCAAAACCCCAAAACCCCAAAACCCCTAAAGGATTTATAATTATTGAAAATGGAAAAAGATTTCAAAATGATTTTCAACCAATTCAGTACGAGTTTACAAGATTCTTTATGCTTCGAAAATTTGTAGGAACGATATACTTTACTGTCAAGTATTATCCGAAAATTTGTACAGATTAAATAAGAAAATTTAGGAATGTTCGATGATACAAATAAACCTCAGTCAAAATCAAAAACAAAATTAACAACTAATGTATCACCATGGGATGAAGGAGGTTAGATTTTCTATAACTCTGTAGGTGATTTCTTACATCTCCAGTCTTCTAAGAAAGACCCTCAAAGGAAAAAGAAATAAGAGTGTTAAACCAAGACAACTAACCGTATTTTAATATTCTAATATGAAGGTTTTTAAAGAGTTTATATTCAGAACTCATAAATCTCCACAAGGTTGAACCTTTAGGTCCAACCAAATATTTGAAGAAACCCCGTCAAAGGAATTATTTCAACTCGCAAGTATGATATGTACTCTAAATTTCTAAGTCATTCCTAAATTACGCATTCTGTGTTGCCAATAAATACCCAAAGTTATATAAGATTATTCTTGACTGATTCTGAGGAATTGTATGGAGCTAGAATTCTAGCCCCAAAATTTACCATTTTCAATTATGATTCCGTATTAAAGAAGATTTCCATTGGCAAAATATGTGGTCAATTGTGTGATTTTTGTATGATTTTTTGCTACTTTTCCATAAGAATCTGTACAAAGTTGACCAATGTCTTATCAGCAGTTGTTAATGCATAGCTTGATTATTTTACAATACTTCAGAATCCATATCTGAAACTTTTGGGGGGTTAAAATGTGCAAGGGGAGACAATAAGCGTGTCTTGAAACAAAACAATACTGAACGCTAGAGGTTTTAAGCTATTGAGATCCCTAAGCCTTCTTTATGACCATGCTTCATATGTATCACTATTTCTATAGATAATTCCAAACAACATCTTCAAAAGCTCAGAAGGCAGGTAAGCCTATTGGCTTTTAAAGTCTAAATTTTAGCCTAAAAATTTAAGAAATTCCTTGAGGAAATAGAACGTTTTCAGAGTCTTCTGAAGGATGCTCCTCCTTGGAATCCCAACTAGATTTTGGTAAGTCAAAGTAGGGTTAAGGCAAGAAACAGGCTTGGGTAGATGGTTTTATGCAATTAAGGAAATGGTAGATTTTGTGACAGATTTTGCTTTAACAAATTCTGAAAGGTTTATGGAATTAATAAAGAGGGATACAGGCTGGTGAATTCAAGTATTAAATATCAAAAGCGCCAGATCCCGGTTATTTAATACTTATATTTCTCCAATCATATCTTAATCTTTTCTTCATTCTCATTTCTTTTCAGAGCATTCTTTCAAGATTGAAGTATTGCCCAAATCCCATACCAAGACCATGAAGTCCAAACCCTCGCTAAGCAATGGAGTTCTTAAGAACTCAGCCAAGAAAGCTATTAAGAAGACTGTTGAGAAGAAGGAAGAAGAGAATAAAACCGTTAAATTTAAAGAATTCATGAAAGACAAAGGAGAGATCCGGAAAAGAGAAACAAAACCAGAACCTGTTATTAATGAATATAAGAAACCTATTTCTAAGAGACTTGATGCTCAAGTAGCTCCATTCAATGAACAGAATTTGAGAAAATTTAAATCTATAAGTCCTCATAATCGTGAGACTGCTCAAAATAAGGTGACTTCCCAACCAAAAGATCAGAAAAGGGCAAGATTTCAGATTAGAGGGACTCATTTTCAAATTTCAGCAGGAGATCAGAAAAAGAAAGAAGCTAATAAATTGTTTTCAAAATCTATGAATATGTTATGTGGAGAAACAGGTAGCCCAAGACATGAAATTTTGAGTAAACGCCATTTCTGAAACCTTGTAATCTTAATGGACTCTAATCCCTGTTTTCCATCGCTCATTAAAGCAAAGAATTCATCCCAAGATTCTTCAGACAGTTGACATTACGATAAGACTCAAAAAGATACCACAAAGGAAGATAATAATCAGAACGATGCTTTACAGGTAATTTTTGATTAAATTTCAGCCTCGGTTACAAGATTCCACAAAACAATTAGCAATTAACTCTAACCAGTGTTTTCCAGATAACCAAGTTGGAGGTTTCACTAAGAAATCTAAGCAGAAAAATAACCAGAATTTATGCAAAAAAGCATCCAACTCTAAGTAAAAATGGGGGAAACTTAATGATGATGAGTCTTGATGATTTAATGAAAACCAAAAAGCCGACAATTAATTCTCCTCGAAAGAACACTGACCAATTAAAAATTTCTACTAGAAAGAATCACATAGAAGGTGACATAAAAGTACCAATAAGCCCAGGTAATTGATTTGATTAATAGAGTTAGAGTTACCTCCGATTGACTCTCCTACTAATTCCCCTATGAAGCAATGCTTGAGTACTGAAGTTCTTCCAAAAGTACCATCAAAGAGGTATTCTAAGCATCCTCACAGCTATTATATGCAGAAGCTTAATAAATTGTAAGAATCTTGTCTAAAGTGTGTAGGAACTTTAATGCGAAAACTCCTCGTGCTACAAAGTTGTTTAATGGTAATTGCTCATAAATAAAATACCTGAACTATCAATGTAAATATTGTACCTAATAATCCCAAAAAAATTAAAGCAATCAAAATTGGCTCTAAATGCTTTAATTTATCGTTCAAACTTCAGTTTGGCATGATGAATGTAGAGCTATAGGACTGATTGTAATATTTATTTGCGATAATGGGAGCTCCATTTAAAATCATACAAACCACTTAATGTCAATCAGAAATACAAATTACTTTCTATTAATACATTTATTGCTTCTTATTTACTTGATTCCAATTTTTTACATTTTAGATGAAATTTTTAGACTTCAGTCTAGTCTGAACAATACATAGGTGTTCATTCTGATGCTGAAAATTATGAAAAGGGTACATTTTGAGTTTTTATGGGTTATATTTTATATAGAATGAACACAATTAGGGATCTTCACCTCGGGGTTTTGGGGTTTTGGGGTTTTGGGGTTTTGGGG